GTAATGAACAAGGCTGGGAGTTTTTAAAAGCCTCAGGAATCTTTTGCAGGTGTTTAGAGTTACGTCGTTGATTCAGATGGTTAGGTTAATAGCTTGTTTAGAGAACCTTTTCATGATATGCTAATTTTTTGAGACAGGCATTTTGGGTTTTCATGAGCTGTATGCCATAATCATCAGTATTAAAACAATTAAAGACCTGAAATATTTCAGTTGGTGTGCAATGAATCTGAAATATATGAAAGTTTCATTTTTATCATTACATTATGGAAAATAATGACCTTTATAACAATATGCTAATTTTTTGAGAAGGACCTGTAGAAAGAAGTTGATTATTACTGTTTTTTTTTTTGCTCATCCGAAGGCACAGACAAAATGCTCTTACATAGACACAGTTACCTCACACATTGGTGTACTGGGTGTAGTCCTCTCCTGGATCTCCCTTACTGTAGCTGCAGTAGCTGGGGTCCTTGGCATGTGCTGTCTTCAATGTATATGTGATACCACAAGCGCCTTCCCCAGGTCCTCTAGGAAGATGTGCCCCTTGTACAGCTTTGACACTCTGGAAAGATTTTTGTCTAATTGACAAAATGTGCTATAGGCTGATACATCAATTATGTTGTAAAAGATGACCGGCGGCCATCGTGCAGTCATTCGCCTGGTGCTGTAAGACCCCGTGGCCTTGCCCAAGTCACCTCCTTTTGGTGACATTGTACCGGTCATCAAGGATCACTTGGTTTCTGGTCCTCTCATGTTCTGACTTCAGAATTTATTTACCTGGATGATTGCACATGCATCAGGACATTTTGAACCACTTTGACCAGGTTTGCCTCAGGCTTGTTCTGTGAATAGCAAGCGGCCATCGGGGCACTTACGATCGATTATTTGTTAGGTTACTGGCGATCGATTGTTAAGACTGATGGTCCTCCTTTCACTTGTGAAAAGCTAGTTGTGGATGTCCCCAGCAAACTGGTTTATCCACTTTGAGAAGGTGCTATGAGTTTGGAATGAGCGTGACCTCAGACTGATGAAGTCTTTCGGATGAAAGACGAAACGTTTCAACCCAGAAAAAATCCGTCCAGATGACCTGAGTTAACTTTTATGGATTTATTGACCTGGATGATAGAGCACCAGGACACTTGTCTTTTATTTTAACTTTCTTAATCATGCAACTTATTTCCTTCTCTAGTTCCCTCATCTTTTGCATATCTCAAAGCTGCTTTCTTTTGGCTTAGAAGATATTTCATGTTTTTGTGAGTCATGTTTTGTTGCCAACTATTACGAGTTGTTTGTTTATATTTGAAGATTGTCGAGTACACTTCGAATATTATCAGTGCCTGATGAATATCGAGTCGGTAAAATAATCCCCGGCTGGACGTAGACATTGTCAAAGGCAGAGAAAAAAATCTGAGATTCCAGCTCAGAAGTGAAAAGTAGTTAAGAGGAAACGGTGACTAAAAGGTGTAAGGACGAGAGTCGACAGAAGTAGAGTGATTGGGGTGGGGATGGGGGGGATTGGGTGCTTTGAAGCTAAAGTTATTGCCAAGATAATCTGCAAATGGGCTGTGCTGATATTCTGAATTCTTTACGGGTAAATTTCCTTAACTGATCACCAAATCAGGCTGTAAACAGAAGCGAGGAATATTTGATGTTTCTAACGCAGTTTTTCCTTAAACCTCAATGAATTTTAGTTACATGAACCCCCAAACAGTCATTTAATGATGTAGAAACTGCAAGAAGCTTTCATTCAACCTTTATTTAAACAGGTTCATTCATTCATTCAACCTTTATTTAAACAGGTTAGTCCCACTGATCCACGAGGAGTCATTTACAAGAGAGACCTGGATTTTAACAGAGTGATGACAACAGTGGACAAAAATAGACAGTCACAAAAGATGCATACAAATTTAAGTTTTTTTTTTGTTTTTTTTTACTATTAAAAACAAAATGATAATTAAAAAGAAACAGAAAAAAAAATCAGCTAGATTACGAGGCAGTGTAGAAAACTAAAAACAGGAACATGTCTGCATGGGTTCATGCCAGGAACTTAACAGATGTTTAAAGCCACTTAGAGAGGTCAAGGTGGAGAGCTTCAGATCTTTTTACAAGATATTCCAGGAAACAGGAGCAGAGTAGGAGAAGGCCCTTATGCCTAGTTCAGTCCTCACTGAGAGAACACTGCATGTAATGATGTCCTGAGAGCGCACGCTGTAGCTGCACTCATGCAGAGACATGTAGGAGGAGATGTATGAAGGCAGCAGACCAAGAAGTGATTTAAAGATGAAAATATACCAGTGAGAGAGTCTGCGTGAAGTTAATGATGACCAGTTAACCAGTGAATACAGGGTGCAGTGGTGGGTACAGTAGTTACAGCCAGTTATGAATCTTAGCGCACCATGATAGACAGCATCCAACATCTGCAGGGTGCTTGTAGGAGCGTTCATGTAAATGATGTCACTGTAGTCAATGGAGGGAAGGAAAGTCACAGATACAAGGTGTTTCCTAGCATTCAGAGTTAGACAGGATCTGCTTCTGAAAAAGAAACCCAGTTTAACTTTCAGTTTTACCAAATTTTCCACATGAAGCTTAAAAGAGAGATGCAAGTCGACCAAGATACCCAAATATTTGTAGGAATCGACAAACTCAATAGGGACACCGTTTGAGGATAAAATCAGAGGAAGAACTGCTGGGACTGACTTCCTGTTTGAAAAATGCATCCCTTTGGTTTTGTCGGCATTTAGGACAAGTTTGAGACGAAACAAATCTGACTGGATGATGTCGAAAGCGGATTGCAAAGGCTGGAAAGCCTTAGCAAACAGTTTTAGCTCGACAATAAACAACTGTGTCATCAGCGTAGAAATGTAAGGATGCTCTGAGCTACGTTACCAATCATGAAATGTTGCGTAAACATGAAAATTCCAATAAAAAACATTTAGAAAATTACATATTTTGACAGCTTTAAAACTTTACAATTGTTTAACTTTAGAGTCAGTGCAATTCAAGATGGCTGCTACAGCTGAATCATGTTAGCTTTTGCGCTGGCTAGCATCAATTAGCTGTGGCAGCCATCTTGAATAATGGTTATAACTTTCAATTTTACATAAAATGAGTTAAAATTTGATCTGGTGGTACCAGTAGTTGAATCATCCTCAACAATTCACAATTACCTTAAAGTCCTGGAAAGAGCTATTTCTAAAATGAATAACTCTTTTCACAATAACAATAATCATCAGTGCAAGATGTTGGTGTGCTGCCTCCAGCAGCAACAGAAGTTTTGGGCCTGGTCTTTCTAGAACGCTGGTGCACAGAGCGAACCAAGCCCTTTGCATTTTGATTTACATTCAAGGCCTTTTCTCATCATCTGTATAATCCTCTTGGATCTGTAGAGTCTGCAGACAATGTCTCCTGGAGCAAGACATCTTTTCTCCTTAGCCTATTTTTGTCTCTTGCATGAGAGAAGAGTCATCTTTTCCAGAATAGCTCTGCCAGGCATTGTAATTGTTTCCATCTCTTTCTGACAAAGATCCCATTGGTTAAACAGTCTTGGAGGCAAGATTGGTTTGTTCTTCAGATGTGGTTGGGTGTGAGAGTCTCCAGATAATTTGACTCATCTGAAACCTTTGCGATGGATCTCATTTAAAATGGTGACTGTACTTATATAGCGCCTTTCTATCTTATCAAGATACGCAAAGCTCTTTACACGATCTGTGCCCTCATTTACCCATTCATACAGCACTCTAGTACTAGATCTATACAAAGACTAATCATGCTTTATCATATTCATACACCGATGGGACACACATTGGCAATGAGAGGTTCAGTGTCTTGCTCAGGGACACTTCGACACGTGACTACTGGTGGAATCGAACCCAACTCTCGCACTGGAGGACGACTGCTCTAACCACTCAGCCACAGCTGCCCATTTAATATGGCATCCACCTCACAAATGATTGTTTTGGAGTCCTTTCATCATCCCAACACTTGCTCTTTAAGAACTGAGGTGAGAACTAACTTTATTTTGGCCATGTTTAGTATGAATATCTTAGTGAGACAATAAATAAAAACTATCTGCCTCTGATTTAAAGTGGGATAAATGTAAAATGCACATTCACAGAGGTGTCTATTCACAAGACCACCAGACTTCTCAACAAGGCTCTGTTTAAATATATCCGGACTCCCGCCATCAGCACATTCTCTCATGATGAACTGAGCCAACTCGGCTCCCGTCCAGTAGATGAGTCAGGTCGCGGCTGTGGTGTGATGTGCGGAGATGTTGCATTACCTTCCTGAACCCACGCCGAGGTGACAAAGGTTATTGCAGTTCAAAACTTTTCCCAAAAACTTCCACGCCACGCAGCTGCAGCGCGACTGGGAACGGCCAATCAGCAGCGAGGTCCTGACTTCTGATCCCTCTGGACCAATGAGGCAAGAGCGCGTGAACACGTTACTAGCATCTGCAACAGCCGCTTGTTTTGCCGCTCTGCTGCGTTCAAGCGCCGCGGCTGAAAGTGGGAAAACTGAGGAACGGCTGAGGTGGTTCATGTTTAATTTAACGTAGCAGTCCAAAATATGAAGGATACCTTAAAAAAAAACCCTAAAACATCACCACCACTACCATGTGCCTTATTTAGATGGATGGTGACAGAATAGATTGAAAAATTCACATTTTTAGATTGAGATTATGTTGAGATGTTTAGTTTATTCTGCAAACCTATAGCCTCAAAACATTTTAAAATGTTTAACAATAGATTTGCTTTGCTTAATCCCGGTTACATGGCATCACATGCTTTGTTCTGTCATCTAATAATCAGATATTGATGCACTAATATGAGTATGGGTGAGTTTGGGACCAGTTTCAGTTATTGCTGGGTCAGTTATTGCTCACCGCCAAAAGGTGGACAATGTTTGGCACCATGTTTGTGTCTGTTAGCAAAATATCCCATGAACCACAGGACAGATATGAATGAAACTTGAAGTAATCATTGAATGTCAATTACAAATTACAAAAAAAAAAAAAAAAATCACTATACCTCAATGCCTTTTCCAGACGCTGAGTAAATGTTTGCAGTCATAGCTGAGAGTCATCCCCAACACATACTCTGAGCTCTTTACATTGTACACAAGCTTTACCTAAAACTCATTTTAACTGCTTGTACCAACCCTGTTTGTTAGCAAAACATCTGAAGACCCACTTAACTGGTTTTAATAAAACTCAATCAGTAATCATACCCTAATACATCCATCCATCTTCTTTACCCGCTTATTCCATTTTGGGTCACGGGGGTCGCTGGTGCCCATGTCCAGCAATCACTGTGCGAGGGGCGGGGTACACCCTGGACGGGTCGCAAGTCCATCACAGGGCCACACAGAGACAAACGAGACAAACAATCATTCACTCTCTCATTCACACCTAAGGACAATTTAGAGTTACCAATCAGCCTAACATGCATGTTTTTGGTCTGTGGGAGGAAACCGGAGTACCCGGAGAAAACCCACGCATGCACGGAGAGAACATGCAAACTCCACCCAGAAAGGCCCCTGGACCGGGGTTTGAACCAGGGACCTGCTCGCTGAGAGGCAGCAGCTCTACCAGTTGCGCCACCGTGCTGCCCTACCCTAATACATATCCATCCCAAATAATTACATCAGTCAATACAAAATGGCTATAACCCAGTCAATAATGGAAGTTTAGCTAAAAATGGTACTAGAATGTCATCCTCAACATGTACTTTGCACAAAACTTTGACATCGTTAGTCAACCTTGTATATATATTCGATACCATGCAATTATCTGCTATTTTTGCAAATACTGTAAGTTTATGAAAAAAGTTAAACTCTTTCATGCGGCGACATGACTGTCAGTGTAAGTCATTTTAGGTTTACAGACTTCAAATATTTCAAGTGAAGCTTTATTTTGAAAAACTTAGCGAACCGAGTAAAGCAACAATGAATCATATAAATATCTGTGCAGCTGCTTTCTGCTGCCACAACACGCCAAATAACCAACGATTATTATTGCCGCAACAACGTTGTTTAATGTGTTCTTTTAAGTTGTAGTATTGTTTCATCTAATACATTAATAATAAAAGAAAATATGAAATTACCAAAGGATACAATAGTGCGTTTATAAAAAGGGAGTAAGAACAAAGCGTGCAGAAAGAAAAAAATCATTTATATTTCCAATGAAAACGTTTTATAAACTGCTCTGCAAATCCAGCAGTAGATAATGGGATTAGATGAGTAATATGAATACTAAAGCAAATATTTGGGTAAAAATAAGAGAAATAAAGGTATATGGAGAACTGTTTCAGGTCTAGGCCAACACAAAAATTAAAACAAATGATAATAATAATAGCCCGACAATCACAACCAATCACTTTTCTACAATCAGAAATTAATTGTTTATGAACTGCTCTCGTTACGTTTCTGTAAAATCTACCCAGATTGCCAGTCTGTTCCTCCTGCTTACAGAGTACAATGACAACGTGGATCATAACCCAAATTTTATTCCCATAATTTCTTATTTGAGGCCCTGGATATTCTTTCTGCAGCCAGAGTGCTGCTGCAAGTATGTAATCAATACATTGTGTACATCTATCAAAGACCGAGAGAAAAATATGAACTTGGGTAAGATGCAACAAGGTTTATGACCTACCACCTACTTGGACAACCACAGCATCGATTCAGACCATTTGCTTTTTGTATCGCATCAACTTTTGAACCTACACTGAATCACAACTGTCAGAATACATTCATCTTATATTTTTGTAAAATGATTGCAGCAACATTGACAGACTCCTACAGAAGTCCACCTCGCTCTCTCAGTCAGCCATGTCCTCTGGAGAATTGATGGTGGGATGAGACGTTGTCATTTTACCAGCCATTATTCTCGTTGTTGACGCACATCACCAGGCCATGAAGAAATAAATACATATACAACAGTATAACACTGAAGAATGGTTGGTGGCGTCTTCTGGGTGTTAGACGCTCAGCTTGTTGGCGATAGTCATGACCACTTTCAGGATGGGCATGAAGGCAGAGATCTCACTGAAGTTGCTGCTGCTGACCACCTGAGTGTGGACCTCCAGGCCCCCCTGGTAGTTCTGGCTTGCCACACAGCGGCTTATCTCGTGGAGCCCGTTCAGGATGTTGGGAGAGAGCTAAAAGAAAAACAAATGAAGGTGTCGTTACTGCTACCATCTCTAATTTTGACATCTTCTGACTAATAGTTTTAACTCATAGCAAAAACTTTAAGGTTTTTCAGTCTGTGGAGTTCTCAAAATGGTGTTAGAACCAGAATTTGATCATGTCAAACAGTGGATTGAAATGGTTATTGCCCATTAGATTTGCATTTGGGCCTAAAAAAAATCCGACCCAACCCAGCCCCAGCCTGTAGCCATTTTTTCTGAACCCGACCCGACAGATTAACTAATTACATGTCAGAACCTGAAAAAAATAAAATGAATTGTTTTGTTGCTTTTGTAAGCAAATCAGTCTGACATATTTTTAAAAACGTAGTTCAAAGAAAAGAAGATATAAGCTTTATTTTTTATTAACAAGTCACCAAATGGATATTAACATACAAAAACGAACGACCTAAAAAAAAAAAAAAAAAAAAATCAACGTTAAAGATAGGCTGTTCTACAGATGAACAAAAATATTTTTAGAGCTAAATTATTTGGAAAAATATAGAACAAGTCTATTTTAATTGAACGCGCTGCTCGCTTCAGGTTTTCTAGCTTCAGATGCTGCTACTTCCTTCACCGCAGTTGACGGCAGGGTGCAGAGACGCGCGCGGCCGGTGATCAGGTGATCCATCCGAAGCTTAACAGGGCTTGTTTTTACCTCTTAAACCGGCCGGTTGGACCCAACTCCTCCTCTACAAGTAGATTAACACAATTTGATATTGTGCATTCTTATTTAGTTTTCTTTGTGCTGTACGATTCGTAAAACCGCATCAACAGCTCAAGACTGACCCGGCCCGCCCATCAAGCACAGAATTTTGGCACGACCCGGCCTGAATTTTGGGTTGGGTCGGGCCCGGGTTAGAAATCGCAGTTCTATTGACCACCGCCTTTCAGACTGCTTTCAACTAAAACGGCTGCTGCTGTTTGGATCAAACTTCAATATTGATATTATTCATTCAACCTTTATTTACACGGGTAAATCCCACTGAGCCCCGAGGACTCACAAGAGATACCTGATTATTATCATTATTATTATATTAAATAACTTATTTAATATTTAATATTGTTATGCACACTGACACACAGAAACTGCGTAATAATATTGTCCTCCTTTGCCTTGTGGCTGCCGGTGATAAAAACTTACCGACTGCTCTCTCAGTTTATCATAAAGGTGTCCTAAACGTTTTCCTGCATCATCGAGCTTCCTTTTTGTTTGCTGAAAAACACACAATTTGTCATTTTATAACGTTTTCCCTTCAAACTAATACGTTAAGAAAAAACCCCCAAACATCATCATCAGCAATAGTAAAAGTAGGACGCTCCCAGAGGTTGAAACTTACTGGATCTCCTGCTGCGAGCTGGCAGCGCTGTACCAGGCTGTCGAAGGTGGTTTTGAGGATCATGTGCTCAGCTGGGATTTCTTTCTGTTCCACTCTCTCTGCTGGCAGCTGCTGAAGGAGCTGAGCAACGCAAGCACACAAATACAACACAAGGCTGTTCTTACTGCGCACATTACTGTGGAGAATTCTGCCGGCAGCTCCTTGTTAGAGACAAACCTGCACGCTGGGCTCCTGAGGGGCTCCGGGTGGGACTTGGGTGTGGTTATGGGGCTGTGGGGCCTCCACTGGGAAACCCATGACAGGTGCCGTGATGGGCGCTGGTGGAGTGTAGTTATCAGGGACCTGCTTCCACACCAAAGGACGACAGGGTTGTTTATTCAAGAGTCGAGTTCAGATTTTCTTCATCACTAAATCGTTGATTATTCCCCTTTCTAAAGAAAATTAAACTCAGCAGTGCCGAGTCATCGTCAACTGATTCATTAAATACAACAAGAATGCTTTAAAACCAAGTGTTTTCTTTTATAAATGAGTTTTTAAAACCAACTGTAGCAGCAACAATCGTTTAAATTCATAAGTCTAAATATCGCTTGAAATCAACAAAGTTTGGAGACTTTTATGCCGACTTGTTCTCTAGCAACATTTTAAATGCATTGAGGGCCACATGGCAACACTTTGAAACTAATCTTTGAAGCATTCTGTTGGGTACTTTTTGTGTGACGGATTATTGTCCTGTTGCATAATCCCAAATTAATATTAATCTATCAAATAAGATGACCCACATCATTTATATGTTAGTCTAGAGGTGTTTACGGTTAGTTCACTTGTAGTAATCCAGGCCCTGTGGCAGGGAAACAAACCAAAATCTTAACCACTGTATTTGACTGCCATTTGTTTTTTAGTAAAAACGACTTGTCTCCTCCCTCCTCCTCATATGAGCAGTGCAGAGTAGAAATCTCATCCAATTTATTTAGAAAGTACATTTAAAAACAGCAACTAAAGTGTTTAACAATAAAAATCAACTGTACTAATTTAATGAATATTTACAGTATTTTACCGGTACCATTCGACCTCTGGTCACATGACTTCCATATGAATTGTGGGTAAAATTGACTGGTATATAATTTTGAAATAATTTAAGTTACGTAGGTGTTTGGCACCGTTCTGTCCAGTGATTATGCTTAGATAGTTCTTATGTTTATTTTGAAGGTATAATGGTTGTAACCATGAGTCAGACAGCGAGTATGAACGTATATTAAAAGCAAGCTGCAATACTGTGATATGCCATCTGGTGGCTGATTCGTGTACTACAAGAAATCTGCACTCTTGTGTTGGAACTGACTGGGCACAGTGGATGTCCTTGGCTAAATAACCGGCATCTTATTTATTTACAAACTTATGTTTTATCTTATATTTGGTATGTGCAGCTTAGAGACAGGTGCGTTCTGTAGTCCGAGAATTACGGTAGATACCTTCTTCTTCCTGGGTCCACCTCGTACTGTCGGTGGGTCATTCCAGCCATCTTGAAGTCCTAAATGAACGCGACGATAAAAATGTAAAGAAAATGTAAAGAAATGTTTTTTTAGACTAAACTGAGCTGTTTTCACACATGCAACGTCACGTTGACGTTTTAAAACATCGACTGGATGAACTGCATATGGGAACACAAATATCTTACAGTATCTGAAAAAAGTTTGGACATGATGATCAACCACTGGTACAAAAATGTGCTGTTTAATGAAGCTGATGAGAGAATGCTACTTTTATCTTCTTTTGCTTCACTGTGTAATGTGTTTCACTTTTGCTGATACTGATATTAGATAATCTTGTATTTATTTTCATTAACCCAATGAAGGGAAGTTTTTAACTTTGTAACTCTCTACATGCTGCATTTTCTTCACTGCCTTTTAAATGTATGCAAGAGGGAAAGTGCAAAAACACATTCCGCACTGAACCAGTGGTGTTCATGTGTGACAACAGCTTAATTCAGTCACTTTGAGGACAAAGTTAGTCTACGTTGCATTACTCTGCAAGTCAAAACATGCCGCTAAATGACTACGATTTTCACACTTTAAGCAAAAATACAAAAAGCAGTATGGCAGTTTATAAATAAATATTTTCTCCAATCTTAACATTTCCTGCAAGCATGGGGCAGTTCAAGCAACAACCAAGGAACCAGAAAAACAAAAGGCAATTCAATAATTTTAAAAAACCTCCCTTGATTGGGGTGTGGGGGGAAGGGGGGTGTATTTCAGGGATTTTGCAATGCACTGTATTGCAGCGTACATGTTTCTGTTTTTCTGGTCACACTGTGCATGGACTGATGCTTCCTATTTCATATAAAGCCCTAACCCTGTCACCTTGAAGGTCACACTGGGAATTCAGCCAAGGAAAGAATCCTGCAAGTCAAAAATGAAGTTACAGCTGAAGATATGCAACTGAGTCATGTAAATATCAGTAAAGCTGTGCAGATTGAGCCTTTATCTCAAAATATATTTTCCATTTTAAAAAGTAAAAAAAAAAAAAAAAAGCTCAAGATTATTGTATTTTACTGCTGTACCATGATCGACTTGTTTGTACCTGTAGGAGGAGGAGCAACAACAGGTGCTGGGAAGGGATTTACTGTAGGAGCTCCAGGACCTCCTGGGGGATACCCAGATCCAATAGGAACATAGGGGCCAGGTGCCATTGAGGGTGCAGGTCCCTGGTTCTGAAAGCCCCCTGGATACGTCAAAACTGGGGCTCCTGGTTGGGAGGTGGGTGACATGATGCCTGAAGGTAAAGAGGTAGATGGGAAGAAGCTTGTTGGTGGCAACCCAGGACTGGGCATGGGAGGCAGGCCTCCATGGGCTGACGACGAAGGTGGCATTTGAGGTCCTGATAAGTTTGCAGATGGGACCGAAGGGCCTGGAGGTGGGAAGATCCCGGCAGTGGATGCAGGCTGAGGCTGGAATGGCTGATGAGGAGAAAAACCTGGAAACCACAGATATACAACTCAATCCATTGTATTTAGTGTTAAACAAAATAACTTTTCTTGTCACACAAATGATCAAACCTGGAGCCACAGCATGATGTTGTGGATAAGAAGGTCTTCCAGCAGGACGGCTCGAACTGGGTGGCATTACATGAGAGGAGGGGGGCAGACCAGGCCCTTGGTTGGATGGAGGGGGTTGAGGAGTAAAAACTGATGGCATGTGAGGCTGCTGTTGTGGAGCCATCGAAGGGGCAGAAGGCTGGTAATGACTCTAAAGTTAGAAAGAAAATCAAATGCAACAAAATTACAAGTGCTGATCATTTTAAACAAAGTACTGGGATCAAATCTAAAATTGCTTGAGGACGAAAGGTATTTCTACCCTAATTTGTGCGTTGGGTTGAGGAGTCTGAGCAGCATGAGTGGGCTTAGCTGTTGGCGCACCGGCTCTGTTAAAGGAGCTCGGAGGCTGCTGGTGGACGGTGGCCTCTTCCTGAGCATGGAACAGCCTGTCTCTCAGCATCATAATCCCAGGCTGAGCAAGCAGACAAACAAACAATCACCACCAGCATCAAACAAATACAGGAAACTAAACGTTTTAAACGAGATCTCGTACTTGGTCCGAGTTCTCAGGAAGGTAGGCCATGGCAGTGGATAAGCTGCCCTCTGCAGCCAGGATGCCGGCGTAGCACGTTAGCTTCTCGGCCAGGATGTGGCTCTGGACGGCCACCTCGCTGTTGCGGAGGCGTTCAATGGACTTCCGCAGCATCATTACTTTTTCAACCAGATCCTACAACAAAAGACAAATAGATTTATTATTATTAATATTAGAAAATGGAGTCAACAAAACATTGTTTTCATTTCCCAAAGTGCATTAAAAATGTTTTCTTATTTGAGCTGCATTTTAACAAACAGGCACTCAACATTTGACGATAACTTCGTTTGAGACAAATTCTGCCTTTTTGATAAATGCTTCATTACTTTGTTGAGATAATGAAAACTCTTAACTAAATCTTATATTTTATACCTCTAGTCCAAGAGGAGAAGAGCAGTCTCTGTGCAAGGCCCAACACCCCACTAACTTCTCAATGTTTCCAGAGCAGATGTAGCACAAGCAGGCCTGCAGGCAGCGCTTCTCGGTGCCCTCGTGCTCCAAACGACTTCCCAGGGTATCTATCAAAACAAATAAAAACTGCTAGATTATTCACAAATTCCAACAAGTACTGCTGGAATTGTTGCACTCCCCCCATAAACAAGTTAAAGCAGGATTTCTGCACCGCTAAACATCAACTTACCACACAAACCAGCAAAGCCTTCAGGATGAGCATAAGTCAGCAGAGCAGCGAGAGCTTCCTTCCAGTTCTCCAGCTCACAGCTTTCAACGATGTCCCTCCAGTTTTGGGTCACCACTGATGATATAAGCTACAGTTCGGACAAATCACTAAAGAGTATTATCTCCTTGTGGTTGTATATATACACACACTACAATCAGCGATTTTCTTACCATTGAAATGCTGTTCTTTTGCTTGCTGAGGTACTTCTGCTGGGTCTTCTTAAGAAGTTCCTCTCCTCCGCTGATGGACAGCAGAATGGCTTCAGCGAAGCGACCATCATTCAGACACAGATCCACTGCTCCCTCAAAGTTACCAACCAGCAGCGCCTGGCTTATTAACCCATCAGTGTCTGCATAAACAAAAAGACATGATCAGTACACATCAACTTAACAAAATACGAGCTGTGGTCATAAAAGTGTGGTCAAATAAGATTTTTTGTAGATGACTTTTATTACCACATGATACAGGGATCTTGAAGTTGGAGGTTTCCTTTGGGGATTGACTGAAAAAGTCGGCTGGTGAAACAGAACCCGAAGCATCAGTTGTTGCTTCATCAGACCTCTGAAAACGATGAAAACTTTTACAGCAAACAGAAACCCACAAAGCTTGAAAACAGAGACTGCGTCTAATGAAACACTGACCTCAGCGGTGAGTTGCTGCATCTTCTCTGCAAGATCATTGGCATCCACTCCATACCCATTGGACTGAAAGTTCTTTCCCAAGCACTTTGAAATCTGAACAAACACATTTCTACACATCAGACACTGAAAGGCTTATAGTGTATATAGTGCATCGATGCAAACTGTAGAATTTAATAAACTATCTTGCCACAGTAGGATTGTCTTAGTCTACCTTTCTCTCCAAGTCATCCTTGCTGAAACCTAAAAGTTTAAGGAATTTAATGCGTGCTTCATCCTCAAAGTTAACCTGTAATTAGAGAAAATCACAATGTAAAAAAACACCACACTGAATGAAAGGCTTAAATCTCAGTATGAGGAAGGCCTACCAAAAGGAACTTCCATATATCTTGTTCTGCATCTGATTTGGCATTCTGAATCTTGGCCTGGCAGTAGTTGCTGAAAGAACCCGACTGCAGCGCCGCCTGGAGCTCCCTGGAGCGCTGCAGGAACTCAGTCTCTGTGGTAACCTGGCTCACAAACACTTGCCTGGGGACAGGCTGGGGGCTCTGCACCAGAGGCTGCTTTGGATTCTCAAAGGTTATCAGCTTTCCACCAAACTGACAAAATGAAAAACAAGTCTATTAGAACAGAAAAATAACAAACTAAAAGTTAGCAGGCATTAAAAAAAAAAAGTCTCGTCACACTTACGCCAAAGGAAGCTCCGACTGGCCTGCGCACCCATTTTGGTGGCTTCTTCAGTGGAGGGATGATGGTTTCCTGCACGCTAGGTTGAGGAACCTGCAGAGGAGGCAGCACCTGGCCAGTACCAAAGGGGTCCATTGTATTAAACGAGGAGGATATCTGTCAAGACAATTAGAAACATTAATAAACATGGCACCTGTACAAGTATTAAAACAGTCATTTAATGGACAGAAAATTATAAGTAGCACTTTGATTTCACAAATTATAACACAAAAATACAGAAACCTGAGTATATGTTGTTTTTTTTAAGTTTCTGAAAATAAAAAACTGAGTAAATTTAAACTTCTGGTAAAGTCATAATGACATGTTTGTGTAATTGTTTAAACAGTGATGTACAGTTGTGATATTTTCTGATACTTTGCAAACAAAATGATTATTAATTTAATGTAAAACATGCATGAAATTAAGAAAAAAAAAATGCAACACTGCTTCAGAAAATTATCTACACAATTTCAAGAAGGAATTTCACAATATTTTAGATTCAGTGGTATTAGATGTCACAGTAACATTTCTTTCTCACTGGCACCATCTTGTGGACAAATAATTTACAATTATACAATACAATTTTTGTAATCTTTGGGAATAAACATCCGTTATTACCTTGTCAACTGAGCTTTGCTGCTGAGCTTGCAGGCTTCCTCCCATCACAGAATAAACTGTGATTTTTCCATCAAATGATGCTGTAGAAAAAAGAGCTAGATTCTTGGGGCACCACTGGACATCAAAACACCATTGGTTTGTTGTTGGGAGCTCATAAATCACCTAAAATTGAACAAAAAGACACAGGAAGATCCTTAAGAGTTCACTAAAAAAAAAAGTGAAGAAAATGTTATTAAGGGATGACACCAAAGCAACAATTAAGGCCACACACCTCTCCAGAGTTTGGATTCCAGCAGAGGATCCTGTTGTCTTTAGCGCTACTCAGCAAGAGCTCAGAGTCAGCCTGGTTCCAAGATATAGACAGAATTCCCCTGTAAGACGCCAACAGAGAGGACACTGAGGACATTCTGCAAATTTACAAGTAAATCATCATCATGATGGGAAATCAGTTTTAAGTCTCACCTTGTGTGGTTCTCAAGGACTTTAAGAGGTGATGTGGCGAAACGAAGATCCCACATCTGGATGACCGGCAGTCGGTCATCTTCAGAGGCCAACACCAGCTGGGTGGCAACGTCAGGGTGCCACAGCATTCCTGAACAGTGCATCTAAAAATCAAATAATCAACAGGATTAGAAATTACAGCAGAAATTTTCTTACAAGGAAGAAAATCCAAAAATAGTAGTTTACATGGATTGCCTGATCTGAGAGGAATGCAAATATATATTTTTACTGCCTCACTAAACCCAAAAGCAGCTCAGAATTAAGGGATGAGAATATATATATTTTTTGCCTGATTCACATTTGTTTATATTTTTCTACATTCCCATTTTACCTTTTAATTCCATACTTAGATTTCTGTTTTCAACTGCTTGTTAGTGAAAATAACTTTTAAAAAAGGGAAGGTAACCAGCGCTGAATATCAACACGCTGCTTTCATTTCGTCTTTTCTGTTTCTGGGTCATTCTAAAGAGATTTTATGTCAAATATAGCAGGAAAATAAGGGACGTTTTGAATGATTCAGAACAAACAGTGGAGGGCTGTACAATTACCGGTACTTGTTTTGTGTGTTTGTCTAATGATAAGCCAGGCAACAGAAATTAGATGCTGTACTTTCTTTTGGAAACACATTATAATCAAGAAAATGACTTTCAACACAGGAAAAATCTTGTAAATATGTTGAAGCATATGAAGATGTTACAGTAAAAGAGCAGATTTGCTGTGCTTTCTGATTTAAAAACAAAGCTACAAACCTTGTTGCTGTGATCACTGATCTTTATAATGGGTTCATTCTTTCTCAGATCCCACACAACTGCTTTCCCACTGGGGTTGGCAGAGGCCAGGATGTGCTGAACCTGCCTGTTCCAGGAGACAACACTGATGTCTTCAGCGGGCTGAAACAAGAGACATGCTGTCAGCGTCAACACAAACAAGCTTGTGAGTTTGAGGAAAACAAAACTCGGATTACCAAATGCAAATTTAATGCAAACGCTGCTGTTACGCTATGAAAATGAACCTTTAGAGTTAGTACATCCCAGAATTTCCCATCTAGTACAAACCTGTGTTTTTGCTCCAGGTGTCATCGGACTGCTGAAGTTGTTTAGATCCCAGATATATATCTCTGAATCATTTGCTCCAGAAGCAAGAAGATTATTCTACAAAAGAAAACAATATAAAAGAAAATGAACTAATTGAAATGTACCTCCATCTTAAGTTATCTTAATGATCACAGTAATTAGATTTACCTGAAATGGATTGAAATCAAGAGCTCGGACAGGACCTGTATGCTTATCAGACTGTCCAACAACAGCGTCTGCTTCAGAACTTATTATGGCCTCTGGGTTATAAACAGTCAGTGTGCCATTTTCACTTCCACCAACAAGTCTACCTCCAGTACCATCTGCGTCCATTCCAAAATTTACCCATACGATACTGTGCAACCTATAACAGAAAAGACAGAATCAATGTTTCATTTTGCTGACGCATAAAAATACACCAGAAAAACAAAATGAATATGTCAAGCCTGAAGCAACTACTTCATGTCATTTTCTGGTGCAGTCTTAATAAGACAACAATCTCAGTCATTTAAACTATACAAAACATTTAGCGTAATCAGGATAAAAATATATACCGGTACAGTCTACAGTCTAAAGATTGAAATACAGTACACTAAACAACTAAAACAAAGAGTAGTGTTGATATAGTATATATAGATGAATAACTTATGGCATTTACATGTATTACATTTTACTAGAAAGTACCTGTTTGTTGTAGATAAGGACCCTTTGAGCTGCATCTCCAGAGAGGGCTCAGCAAAATCCACCTCAAATAACTCTATGACAGCTGTTGTGTTGAAAGAAGCATCAAGCTGTTGTGCTGAAGTTCCAAGGGCCAGGTAGATAGGATGGTGTCCAGCAGGACTCCACGCCTGGTGGGCAGTCCTCTGAATTTCCTTCAGCCTCATCTTCCTCTACAAATGTTCAGGTTTCTCAACTCCTGGGCAGATGAACCACATATTACTACTATGCATTTATTTTAATAGCTGTTGATGACTGGTGGATTTTTTTTTTTTTTTATTTTAATTGCAACATACAATAAGACACTTGGTCGCACATATCTAGGATTTGTACTTTATAATTTTAATCAGCTGCATCCGGCTATTACCTGCAAGTGTGGAAATACAGCACAGCACCTCGTAAAGTACATTTACATTAAGTCAACATGAACGCGTGTAAAAACAAAGTGTGGAGGCAAGATTACAGTTTAATTACAGCTTTATAATTAAATACAATCGATAGTCACATCTCCATTAACTAACCGGTCGTAGAGCCACTTCTGAATGGATTTAATACAAATCTGGCATGTAGCTAACTAGTTAGCATTTCGCATTTAGCGTTAGCCTTCCTCGTTAAATTATATTCTACAGGAAAAATCTATAGGCAGACATTAGATTGCTTTTCGTGTTTTAGAGAATAATACAATATAATTACTTAATGAATGTTACTTTTTACCCCAAAACGACTTTGGCGATAAACATCTGCCAGCTTTATCCAGAGAATATCCGGAGCCTTTTCCTACCGAGCTAACAGCCACCACCCTTACTACGTTTCAACAAAACAAAACTTAAAGACATACTTAAACCCACCTATAAAATGTTACGTACTTCTAAAATCAACTTACCGGTACTTTTAATTATACGTGTCTTGACTTGACCGTACGCATTTACAAGCTCCAGAGCTACTGTTATCTGTCGAGCTAGCAACCCAGACCAAAGTGCTTCTGCCGTGTTGTCACTAAACTACGGTAGCCGACAGGGTCATTTTTCATCTAGCAGTGGGAGAAGTGGCCTACAACCATCAGCGTTCCAACAAATACACAATTGGTTTTTTTTAAATAAATGACAATGTAACTTACACTTTGACTTTCCTGTGAGAAAAAAAAAAGTATTTTGACAATCTGACATTCTTTACACTTAAAAACCAACAGCCACACAGATGATGATTTTAAAGGTTTAACGTAAGTCTTTATTCTTGCCAGAAATATGTACACAAGTAGGATTGTATTTTATGAATTAGATTTCATAATTTTTAACTTCTTCTGGTAGTTTTGCAGGATCTCCTCCTCTCTCCAAGTACAGGTTGTTATAGGGATATTGCTTTGGAGCCTAAAAAAAAAAAGAGAGAAATTTTAATGAAAATGTGTACAGAAATAAATGGAAAAAATAAAGACACAAATCAAAACCAGGATTATCTGTAAAAGTTGCACAACACAAAAAAGTAGTATTTCAACACACCCCCTTATAAAATCTGGATGCTTTGTACCTGTGTGATTTAAAATAAAAATCCAAAAAGTGTATATATCATTCAGGATTAATACATCTGTAACCCCCTAAGAATCATTTTATAATCACTAGTTCAAAATAACCATCTATCTTTTCTGTTGCCCCTCCAGGAAAGAGTCATGGTGAAAACAGTCTAAAACAAAGATCTTCAAACCTCCTTTTTCATATCAACCTCTTTCATGGAGACACAAAACATTTACAAGCAAGCTAGCAGTTAAGACAAAATGTACCCACCAATTCTAAGTTTGCACTCAGTTGAACATGTTATAAAAATGCCTCACCAGTGAGACATTCAAAAGTAATCCTTATCAGAAGCCCAAACTACAGGTGCATCTCAAAAAATTAGAATATTGTGGAACAAGTTACATTTCTTTGGTCAATCATTTCAGGAAGTGAAACTCATGAATTATGGTACACAGATTCAATATACATAATAGAGTTAAACATTTCAAGCCTTCATTTCTTGTAATTTTGACGGCTTACAAATAATGAAAAAACAAACTTCGGTGCCTCAAAAAATTAGAATATTGTGAAAGTTACATCTTTTGTCAGTCATTTCAGAAAGTGAAACGTGTATACTACATAGATTCATTACAAAGAGTGAAATATTTCAAGCCTTCATTTCTTGTAATTTTGATGATTATGGCTTACAAATAATGACAAACCAAACTTCAGCGTCTCAGAAAATAGCCAGCTTTTGGTACCTTCGGCACTGACTAAAAGTTGCTGGGAGGAGGGGGGATTTGGTAGGCAGGGGTGCTCGGTCCTGCTGACAGGGTGGGGTGCCCTCCTTGGATAATAGTAGGGGAAACACAGCACTTGTACCTTGATGGGCTCTATTAGATACAGAACAGTTGCGATTCTACTCTTGAAATCGTCCCAAATAAACAACCTCTACGGTCTATTTCTAAGGGTGAGCTAGCCAGCCTTCAAAGGAAGATTATTCTGGCAGTTTATATTTACAATCTCTGTCATTGGGAGACTACTCACTATTCAAAGCCACATTAGAACACCAAGGTCACAGTTGTTGAGCAAAACAGATATTGTCCATGCATGTCCATGTCCCTATGCCAAAGCTAGTCTTGTAAACCTAAGAAACTAAATTTGATTAGATACATAATAATAATGTTTTTTTAATAATGTGTGTACTTACAACAGGTTGATAGCATGGGAATTTCTCCCCAAAGTAGAACATAACCAACATTAACCCAATGAAACCAAACAGTTGTTTGCACATTGACGACCATGGCACAGGGCTTGGAGTTGTATCCACGTGGGTTCTGCAGTACATGTCAAAATCCCAGTGCATCTGTAAAAAATTAAGAAGTGGTTTTGCTGTCATTAGCAATCTCAAACTGTTTTAATTTTTAAGTGTAATTGTGACTGCATAAAAGCTCTGCTTTCAGTGAAAAATGTGTTTTTATAACTCTACAATATCCAAAATATAAAAAGCAATGCTGTATGTACTTCAGGTTTAAAGTGATAATCTAGATCATTATTAGATTATAAGAAACACCCATTGAAGTCAAGGCATTGCTTTTTCAAATAATACTCAGACAAGAAACTATATAACGACATGTTCTATATCATAATAGTCAATTATAATATATGTAGTAACTATCCTTTTAAGAAATCAAAACACCATTAAAACAATTAATAGCGATGCATACTTATACATACTGTTAATTCATAAATACAAAATATTTAGGAAGCAAAGACTGAAATTTAGACAAGAAGCCAAATTTTTAGTTGTCACGTTTTTAAAAATATAGCACCTAAATGATTATATTATTGGGTCCAATATTCAGCTATACATTTAATTTTATGTAATAATTTGTTTGACTCATTTATCTTTTATCAATCATTCTTCTTCTTTGTGTCGAACTCGTAAATGATGAATAACAAGGTAGTAGAATGGCAAAGATTTTTTTCCTTCAAACAGCAGACCCATTGGAGTACTGGAAAAAAATTATGTTTCAGTTGTTGTTAACTTTTTTGTTGATCTTGGTTCAAATGTTGCTGCTTTTGGTTCCACTTCTGTGGTGAATAAAGAAAAAACAGGCACATCTGCAAACGGCATTCTCTTATGATAGTAGCCTCAGTCAGTGGGCGAACTCTGCAAAACTAAAGAACAGGCCTAAGAACAATAAGTCTGAGGTATTCACTTAATCTTCAGACTGCAGATACCAACTATGATATTTGTACCAAGTAAACTTGTATCTTAGACATCTCATCTACCAAAAAATAAATGCATTTCTACCATCATTTTACCAATCACTCCTGGATACTTTCAAATGTTCTAATCTTCATGATCGGACTGCTCCAAGCTTTTCTGCCAGTACAAAAAGGTCCTGAAAAGCACTAAACAGGTATTTTTATGTTATATTGACAGTCTAAATAGAATATTTATTATGATTTGTGAGCTCAGGTGTAAATACTAACACCCTTAGATGCATTAGGATTAAAAACAAGTAGACTTCCAGATTACATTAGAAGAAGAAAAAAAACTGTGAGCTGCTTTAGCCTATATCTTTAATTGTTTTGATTCATCTTTTATGATGTTTGTTGCTAGCATCTTGGCCAGGTCACTCTTGGAAAAGAGACCTTGATCTCAATGGGTTTTATCTGGTTAAATAAAGGTGACGATGGTGAAATGTTCACAAACACAAAGTAATCATATGTTAATTGGTATAAATTTCAGTTGTGACTAATAGATCTTCAGATAAGCATACATTGCATCAACATATGCATTGTTAAATTCTCAAGATTTTTGTGATTAATCAAGGACACCACCACCCTACATTTCTAGCCGTAAAAACCATCAGCTTCTTACTGGCTCTCCCCAGTTCCTCCTCAAGTAAGGGTCGTCCCATTGGTACCAGGGGTCTTTCTCATGTTGAGACTTGTCTGGTAGTTTCGGGTAGTCACCATAACTACAAAAACATAATGATTCAATCTAGTTACAACAGATTTTGTGCTTTCGTGCCTACATTGATAATTGCACAAACATGAATGCAATGTGTTTTACTTTCTTCACTTGCAGCAACGTTACGGAAATAATTAGTGCATTAAAAAGTTACAAGATGAAAAAAGTTGTTTTTTTTTAGAATAAAACTCACCCCTCGCCATGATCCGGAAATGGTTTATAGTCCTCAATCGTCATATTGTACTTTTTAGCAGCGGCAGCTTTCTCCACTGGAGTCTTTGGGAATGGACCAGGCAGCATGTCCTTTGACAATTCCGAGGCTAAAGCAGCGACAAATGCACATATTATGACAGCAAACAGCGATTATATTCCTGCAATGCTCAAACGAATAAAATAAACTCAGCGTTTCCCTCTGGCCGAAGGCGCTCAGCTAGCCAACGCTAACATTAGCATGTCAAGGTTACATCTAGGGTCTTTAAATTAAATATTATGGAAATATCTTTCAATAATGCTATTTAGCACAGACTTTACGCACGACATAAAACAGAACTTACCTGCTCTAGATCCAGATAAAAGGGCTGAAAGGCCAGAACCTTTCCCCTTAGCGAGAGTTTTTGCCAAGCGTCGGAAACCAACACCAGCCATGTTTACTGGCTGCTGCTGTCAGACAGAATGAAACGACGCATGCGCGATTGCAGAAGTATGGGCCGCGGTAAGGGCCAAGTTTACTAAAACGGAGAAAACGTTCAAGACAGTCTGTTCCTGTAATCCTGTTTTATTTTTTATGTTGTTGTTTTTTTTTTTTTTTTTACTGGACTTTTATGGTAAAACGTTGAGACAATTTTATAAAGCTTTTTGTTTGTTTGACATATACTCCACCTTGATTACTAAAAACGCTCTTTGTCAAGTAAGACTTTTAGCTAAGAACATAGGGCAATATCCTTACCAAACATGTTGAATAAGCTATTCTTGCCTTTACTTCTCCTTGTTTAATTTTCTATAATTCTTTATGTAAGCTTTATATTCTGGTGTATTAAACAATGTCCTCCTTAAATGTTTTTTACTTAATCATGTGGAGTGCTTCACTTGAAGTTATCCACATAAAGACCTCTTAATCATAGTATAGTTCTTTTTAGCCATAAAGTGGTACATTTCAAATAATTATCTGTCATAATGAAGCAATAATAACACAATAACAGTAAAGACAAACGTAACAATGACCATGAGCATATTTTAATTGTGTTTAATTTGGTTTTTGGACATTTTGATTTCTTGAGAAATGTAAAAGTAACAAGAAAACCCAAGTGGCTGAAAGGAACTTGCACTCAGACTGAATGCACTGAAGCACTGACACATGTTCCTTTTCTCATCAGATCCATCTCAGGTGCACATGTGCATTTACTGAGGGGTCGTCATTCTGCCACCGATGATAGATCAAGTCACGTCCATGAGAGAAGTGTTGCTATATCCTTCTCGACTTCATCAGTGGGGGAGTGAAGTTCATACCTGTAGCAAAAAGGAATATGTCAAAAAGTATCAAACGATGGGTTTAACCTACTTGAAATTTGTAGTTGACAGCCTTACCTTTTGAAGGGCATCCCATTTGCATTGATTAAAAACTTCTCAAAGTTCCATCTAATGTCATTAACATTAATTGGGGACCAATAGAACTTCTTGATGTCTCCAATAACAGGATTTACAAATGGCAGTGATTCCTGCGGAGAATAAAAAGATACAGTGCTGCAGTGCTGTCAGCAAATATACTGAATCTGTTTACTGTTAACCATTTTAAGTTCTTAACTATACCTTTAGGTATGTGAAAAGAGGTTCTTCAGTTAACCCATTCACCTCAACTTTGGAAAACATGGGAAACTTTGGCACAAACCCACCACCAGGTCTCACATACTTCAGAATATTGAGCATTTCCTCATTCACCTCTGAAAAGATACATGTAAATTTGCTATAATACGTATCTATATTCACACATTGTTCAAATATAATATGGTGATGGAAGAGATCTCTACCTGGTGACTGAAGACCAAACTGGTTGCAGGGGAATCCTAAAACAGTGAAGTTGAGGTTGCCAAACATCTCCATCAGTGCATTCAGTCGATGGTACTGGGAAAATACGACACAGAAAAACATTTCCGTTAAGCTTAGCCAGAGTAATTTAGTCTACATGTAATCAGTAAGAATCACCTCCTCTATTGTTGATCCTCAGAAGGTGGCCACATTAACAATAAGAAGCACTTTTCCTCTGTAGGTGCTCAGAGGAATCTGCTCTCCATCCAAAGTCTCTGCAAAGAAATCATAGATTGATTTGCTCGCCATGCTCGTTCTTCAACTTGTACACGGACAGCAGGAGTGAGTATTCACGCGGCGACCCTGTTGGCTTGTCTCATTCACTGAAATATAATTCATGGGTCAGCAATTGTTCAGCATGACTGACTTCATTGTTCATGTGAGCAGAGGTGAGGTGGCTAACTGTTCGACACATGTACCAGGAAGAGCAGCACTTCAAATAAAACAAACTCTTTGGAGCTGGGTCACTAAAAATCCAAATTAGTCATTGGAGGTTTAAACCTTCCTTGACTCTGTAAGTGTGACGAAAAACCAGCATCATCAGGAAATGACAGCTATAGTCACAACATGATGTTTATTTTGGTCCACGGTGAACCCTGCTCTGAGATATATGGTTGCAGTTAGAGAGGACATGGAGGTAGTTGGAGTGAGGACAGAGGATGCAGAGGACAGAGTGAGGTGGAGGAGGATGACTCGCTGTGGCGACCCCTGAAGAGGGAAAAGCCGAAAGAAGAAGTGAACTCCGCACACATTTTATAATGTAACAAACAGTAGATACAGTAATGGTGGGTGGATGTGTTGTTTCTAATTGATCAGCACTTCATTTTTTATTATTATTTTTTGATGTGGGTGGTAACAAGTTTTATGGATAAAGCAAATGTACTACTCATTTGATTCAGTTTACAGCTTTAAAATGGTAATTATTTTCCACATGCATCATCACAATAGAAATATTGTGCATATGTTTTTAATGAATAATAATAATACAAATATTTTTATTTAGAAAAAGGATATAGAGTTTACCCTGTGAAAATTTTACAATAACAAGCAGCACTCCATCAGATTTTTGAACACTTGCATAGATATGTATCTGTTCTATTTGAGTTAGAGGTATTCTATCAGAGTTCTCCGCGTGTATTCGGATTAGATTACATAATTTTAAATAGATAAAGAAAATCTATGAATGTTTCTGTGAACTTATTGTTTTTAGATATGAATGTTTCTCTTCAGTATCCTGAGATGACTTCTGTTGTGACTGGGCACTATATAAATAAACTGAACTGAATTTAATTATTTAATTTAACGGTTCGGGCCTATAACTGAAAATTACGACTGTTGCGTTCAGAGGCTCACTGTAAATGCTAATGACAGTAGTTAATTTGTGCAATAATCTGTCAAAGCAACAATGAATACCACTTTTTTTGTACCTAAGTAACAACTTGTTGAAATTTACCTAAAAAATAAAGTAATGTAAGTTTACTTTTTTTTTTCAAAGTCAAAAACCTAGTTTCGTGCTACTGCTGCTTTATTTTTCTTAAACACATCTACAGATGCAATCTATAGTTATTACTCAATTTTAACGCGTTACTATATATTTTTAGCTCTTCTTAACGGAGAAAATATAAGAAAATTAAAAAACTTTAGGTATTCGAGTCACATTCGCATTTTGAAGTCATTATTTCGACTGTCAGCGAAGGCACCATGTGATTTAGGTTACGCCTCAAACGCTTTGCAAGATGCTAAAGCAAAATATGCTGCTTTGGCATCTAAATACAGAACAACGCGTCCTTGTAAACGTTGTATAACATAACCGGCTCATAATGGAGGCAGAAGCCAAGGCGCAGACGTAAGTGTCTTTAAAGAGGAGTTTTATTTATAAAAATAGCTGAATTGGTTAACCCGGCTGTCTAGCTAATCGGCTAACAGTTATAGCTCGCGAGGAATAACAGCTCGTGAAGTCTAGCTTGTCCCATTCTGTAACATATTAAATTGTGTTGTAGTGACAACACTTTCCATTGCTAACTTGAATCGTTTTAAATATTTATTGTTATTTGTCATATATGTGGCTGTTTTTGTTAAAGCGCTGCGTTGTGTCAAAGTTCAGCTGTAAGGTTTGCCCTCCTGCAGATGTCATCTGTTGGACCTGCCCTGGGAGGATGTGCTCGTCCCACACGTTCTGTCCCATCTACCACTCCAGCAGCTCGTCAACCTCCAGAGAGTGAGCAGGCAGTTCCACAGCCTCGTCCAGGTGTACCTCGCCAACTGCAGGACTTTTAATGTTTCACTAGTAAGTAGTGATTAAAACAGGTTTCTGATAACATGCACAGTTCCAGAGTTTATTGCTTTCTTTACAGATAGGACCATGCATCCCCAAAGAGGCATTTTGCAACATGTTAAAGGACAATAAAGTTCTGCAGAACTTGTCACTTCAGAATTGTTCCAACTGGGTCACAGACAAGGAGTTGCTGCCCGTCATTGGCCAGAATCAGCATCTGCAGAGGGTGGACATGAGCGGCTGCTCCTGTCTTACCCGCCACTCCCTGGTGGCTGTGTCCTTAAGCTGCACGCATCTGCAGCATCTTGGCCTGGCACATTGTGAGTGGGTGGACAGCCTGTCCCTGCGCAGCCTGGCTGACCACTGCAGGGGGCTCCAGTCGATCGACCTCACCGCCTGCCGCCAGCTGAAAGACGACGCCATCTGCTACATGGTCAGAAAGTGTTCGGAGTTGAAGTCCCTATCGTTGGCAGTCAATGCCAACATTACGGATGAGTCAGTGGAAGAGGTGGCAAAGAACTGCAGGGGTCTGGAGCAGCTGGACCTGACAGGTTGTCTGCGGGTCAGAAACCAGTCCATCAGGTACATTATATTTTATTTTCAAGTGCAGACTTGTTGCCAAACCTCTTAGTCATTAATCCATAAACTTTCCTGCTTGCTGCACTCACAGGACTCTTGCGGAGTATTGCCCCAAACTGCAGTCCCTGAGGGTGAATCACTGTCACAATGTGACAGAGTCGAGTCTTGATCCGCTGCGGAAGCGCAATGTAGTGATTGATGTCGAGCCACCTTTACAAAGAGCTCTGGTGCTTCTTCAAGACGTGCTGGGGTTTGCCCCTTTTATCAACCTCCAGATTTAGCCACAGGGGGAACACATCTGCCCAACAGGCGCGCACAGGTATGAAAGAACGGCAGTATTTGTTCGAACTGTATGCCTTTCTCACATATTCCTAAACACATTTGTCTTGAAAAGAGAGCTACAACTCGAGCTGAATCTGTTTATCACTAGTCTTTGACAAGCTCGTTGCCAGTCGTTCAGTTGGTTTCAGCTTGTCGTTTACTTTGTTGCAGGTGACTAACAGCTGTCACTTAAAGCTGCATCAATCACATGGTTTATTAAAAAAAACTGCTTCAGGAAGACGTGAATGTGATGTTTTCACAAGTCTGTGACTAAAAATGAGGACGTGAAAAAAATAAATCACTGGTGCGTGACCAGTATAAGAAATTTAAGATGTCGCTTGGTTTTGCAAATCAAAGAAGGAACCATGAACACTTTTTTTTTTTTTTCAGCTTTGCTGCCTCTTGTCCAAGCTGCACTTATTTCCTCAATCGCTCGCTGTTGTAACAATGTGGCTTTATAGAAACAGCATTTTAACCAAAGTTCAACGTGTTCTATTGTTAAAACAAAATGCAAAGCAATTGTTTTGTTTCGTTTAGAAACATTCTAGAAAAGTTTGCGTTTCATTAAACGTATCATTTTGCATGTTTTTACCGTCTTAATGGCGTCGGCTCATCCAAAATCATGCAGAAACATTTTCTAATGTACCACTTATGTCCATTTTATGTGCTATTTTTTAAGGTTTCATAATTTGCACTACTTTGATTTTTTTTGCTAACTTTAACAGCATTAAAGGAAAATGCAGTTGCTGCCTACATTTTCCTGAATTGGTCTTAACCTCACTTTTATCAGCTCTTTTTATCAGTTTCCAAATAAATGTACGCTTTCTTCCAGAGTACAGATACTCAATGACTTGATGAATATATAATATTTGTGATGTGAATGAAGTGACCCTTTAAACCACATCATCTGTATATGCATAGCCTTAGTACTTTGAATTTAAGACTGATTCCCACTAAGTCTCTAAATAGATTTTATAGGAACGTGCTGAAATGCCGTTGTTCTGTCACACAGTTCATGAATTATGTACGAAATGTAAAAATGCCACCTAAAAATGACTTGTCAGTGTTCTGCTGCACAGTTGAATCTGTAAAGAATAAAAGCACTATCAAAACACCCACACAATGCTGCAGTGCGACTCGGCTTTACTTCAACAAAAGGTAATGTTCTTGTGATTAAAAGTCATATATGAACAAAATCCAGACGTGCTGCCGCCTTCTTATGGACAGAAAGTAAAAGATGAACTGAGGTGAAATGGATAATTTGAAATAAGCTTTCTAAGAGAGCCCCATGCTGAATGGACCTGTTTCTACTCTGGCTGCTCATGCTATTAACGTAGGTATGCATTTTTTTTTATTGTGAGCAAATGAAAGGGAGGAGATGGGACTTTTGACAAGGACACAAAATAATATAAGTAGGTAGTTGTTATTAAATAAAAGTGCCAACTGACCAAAACTAAAAATTAGGGATACACAATATTGGATTTTTGGCCGATATATGATATGGCAATATGTTAAAACTTATTTGGCCGATAACAGATACCAATACAATATTATTTTTCAGAGGCTACACAGCTTTCTCTGCTGTGGGATTAAAATACGTTATTCTGCATGGTGTTTGTCAGTTTGGCTCACTACCAAATGCAGATGCCAAAAAGGGGGTTGAAAATGATGTAACACTTGAAGTTCCATCCATCCATTATCTTTTACCCATTTATTCCGTTTTGGGTCACGGGGGTCGCCGGTGCCCACGTCCAGCAATCACTGTGCGAGGGGTGGGGTACACCCTGGACGGGTCGCAAGTCCATCACAGGGACACAGAGAGACAAATGAGACAAACAACCATTCACTCTCTCACTCACACCTAGGGACAATTTAGAGTCACCAATCAGCCTAACATGCACGTTTTTGGTCTGTGGGAGGAAACCGGAGAAAACCATGCACAGAGAGAACACACAAACTCCACCCAGAAAGGCCCCCGGACTGGGATGTGAACCGGGGACCTGCTTGCTGAGAGGCAGCAGCTCTACCCGTTGTGCCACCGTGCACCATGCTCAAACATGGTTGCAAGAATATAAGAGATATTAAGTTATTTAGTTTTCACACAGTCTAGTCCGATGGAGATTCGAGATCAAATACTGATCAAAAGCTCATTCTTGTATTTTATTTTATTTTATTTTATTTTTAGAAAAAAACCCTCTACAGTGGTTTTTTCTAAATTGGTACCAATTTACAATACATTTTCTTTTATAAGTGGCTAAGATATATAAATGAGTTATTAATATAGTTGTTAATACTTAAAAAGCAGTTGTTATGACATGTTTTTTTTTATTATTCCAACCAGGTTGGGTTGGGCTAGATTTGAAAACATTACTAAAATAATAAAAAAATAGGAAAAGTGCGGCATTAAGATTTTCAACAGAGGTTAAAAAAATACTATATATTTTAATTATTGGCACTAGGATAAATATTCTAGCTTAGTAGTTTTAAATATTAAACACAACTCCATATATTCATGTTATTCATCTTGGATTAAGAATTTATAACTTAAAGTGACACTTGGTGGCAGCAATGAGTCAAAAATGTTTCACTTTGTTTTTATTTTATTAGAAGCTTGCATTAGTTTTTTTTTTAAACAACCGATAATTACAGACATTATAGTTGTATTGCATGGATACAACAGTATAAGTATAAAAAAAAGTTTTATATTCCAGTGATGTTGAGTAAATAAACTCACCTGCCTAACACGTTGTGACAGCTGAACTTGAGGATCTTGTTATCTCTTCGGATGCAACAGAAGAGCTTCCTCCTGTTGCCACAGCGTCCTGCAGTTTCCTCTGGTGGTCCACTTGGCACACTTTACTGGATCTTGTCTCTGTGACAACACAACAGGTCTATTTTCCACATGATGGCATGATTTACCCCATCTGCTGCGCGCCGGCCACAAACTGAATTGTGCACAGTTTGGAGGACTTCAGGGATCAAACAGCATCCGTCTGTTGGATGCTTTTATCATATTTTGCTGCTATTCCCATCAGGATGCTCCTCAAAGCTGTTTGTTTTTATTCCTTGCTTTTTATACAGTACTAAAATCCAAAGGTGAAAGGTTGTGCATTAAACGTCACCACATAAAAAGTATGAAACGGTCAGTTTCAGCCTAAATACCTCCTAGCATCATGGAGCAGGAGCCCACCAGGCTACGTTTCTTGTTGCGAAGCAGCATTCGGCGGGTTAAAAAAATATTTCAGGCTACATTCATCATCCAGAACCTCAATTAGCATTGATCTGCAGGAGGGAAAAGAAACATTGCTGCAATATTATATTCCATGGAGCAATTTCTGTTCCAGTGATTGAGTGTATGGGGGGGATTTCTCAAACATAGTCGGCCAAACATATTTTGTCTTCCTGTCAATAATCTGGCACTTGTCTAAATTATTGATCAATAGCAACTGATCATTTTATACCGGGGCGCAACAATGAAGTTGGTTCATTCAATTCATGATGCAGCTTTGGCTCCAGGCGCTGCGTAATATATTGAACTTATTAAAAGAATGAATAAATCTGAGTTTAGTCTTTCACAAAGTCCTTGCTGACAGAGGGTCTTCCAGATGTTGCTCCGGGGCGTGTGAGTTCACCTTGTGTGTGTCGGGATCCAAATAAGTAATTATTTTATCTCAACTGATGTAATATAAGCTAAAAAAAAAAAAACACGATTACAATGTTTCTGTTCTTTTTAATTGAAGTTCAAGCATCAGCACTGTCTTAGTTTATCTTTGCAAATTTTCACAGCAGCGCTTGATTCATATACGCAGGGATTTTTGGGTTTGGATGCGCCCAATTAAAAAAAAAAAAAAAAACACTTTATATTATTTTTTTATTATATTGTTTGTTTCACTAAAATATTTAAATCTGCTCTCTGCCACAAAATTGGGATCGCTATTCCAATTTTGTCCGAGTTTCTTTAATTTTCTGACGAACTGTGCTCATATTCAAGCCCAAGGTCACAGGAAGCAGGGGTGCAGAGGGTGCTGCAGCACTCCTAATGACCCTTTTTTTTAAAAAACTAACTAACTTCTCCATTATTTAAATCAACAGATTTTATTAGTGCAACAGAAGTTAAAATATGATATTAAGTTTTGTATACCTGGTATTTAAACCAACAGTTACACAGAATATTACAACTGCCTGAAACGTGCAAAAAAGTGTGTTTCACGGTATATATTTAGTGTTAGACTATTCTCCAAATGTGTGTTTAGAGTCACACAAATTCACACGACCTCCCATCTGCAACACATTCTCACAGCTTTGATCAAACCTAAACCATCCAACAATGTTGCTGCTCACGCGTATGAACGGTCGTGCTGCCAGCAGTAAGGTTTCATCAGAACTTTGTTTGAACAAGAAAAAGCTTCAAAGCATGGTTCTTTCATGAAGTGCATGGATTCAAGGTGAGTCTAGAGAAGAGGCACAAAAAGAACTTGGTGGTTTGAAAACTATATGTAAACTTTGGTTTAGGAGTTGGGTTGAAATCAGAACAAATTTTTGGACACAAAGTCTGCGAAGACAAATGAATCTGAATCCAAGATTAAAGGTAAAACATTATAGCTGGGTCCTCTGTAAATAGAAGTGGAAGACAACACTTATCAGAAAAAATTAATAAACAAATCCCAGTTTACTGCAGCCAAAAGACAAGTTAGCAGTTTTGACCAAAACTAAAAACTTAAAGGGGTTAGACGTTTTCATTCTTTGAAGCTGTCAATCAGAAAAAAACAGCAGCAACAGATTAGTGGTATTTAACTTTAAAACAATTGATGAATTTAACTTTAATCCATCTGTTGAACTGCACAATCTTCTTTTGATTTCATTTTTAAACAAACTTTTTGTCTCGGTGTTTGCTCTGAGGTAAACTGGTGACCTTTCCTCTCGCTCAGTGCTCGATAGGAGAGCCTCGGAATAAAACAAATGGATGTTTGTTCCCTTTTATTTCAAATGTATTTCATGATAATAATATAAAAAAAATACACATTTCTGCTCTAACAAAAACAGCAATAAAAAAATAAATGA